AGTCCATAACGGAACGGATTTTTCAGCAGTAAGACCACTGCGCAGTGCTCGCAGTGTATATCGGAACATACCCACAGTGACATCACGCATAAGCTGGTCGTGTTTCAAGTCACGTGACCCAGACAAAAAATCACGAATTTCAATTTTAAGATAATCGTGCGATTTTAAGACTCAGCATCTAATATTTATTATTATTACAATATAAATTTTAGTTTTTGTACAATTTCGTGATTTAATTTTCCCTACTGGAACCACCCTATTTCCTCAAGTGATCGGTATTACACCGATAAATATTATTCTATTAGAATCTACTGGAATGCATTTCGGATTCACTTCAGCACTATTCTTATTTTATCCTTATATATCTCGATATAATAGTTTAATCTGCATCGCTAATTGTTTAATTTTCTAAATTAATTAAATAACATTGGACATTCACTATAGGCCCCAACTTTTCTAACAGAGTATAGAGTATCTCATTATTATCCAATAACGTTTTATTATTAGATACGTCATACCCGTACATTATTGCGTTTTGAAACGGCGTAAACTTCGTTGTGGTAGCTATGTAGTGTATACTTAATGTATACTTAAATCTTTAAAACTACGCCACGGATTTTTAGGCAGTTTTTTTAGATAGGGTGATTAAAAACGAAGGTTTTAATTTGTAATAAAAAACTATGCGGGCAAAGCCACTGGAGGAAAGCTAGTACATTATAATACAATAACAAAGGGTGCGAAGAAATCTAAAGTAGTCATCTCCCTATTAGAATCATACAGTATATCTCTTGCTAGAACAATATAAACATAAGCATAACGTGTCAACTCCAATCTCCCCTAGTCATAAAAAACATACAAAAAAGAGTAAGTACAGTACTTGCGCATTAAATGATATCTTTTTTATTTTTCTTTCTCAATATCAATGTGTAATCTATGCATTGTCTGAACACGCCGAAGGCATTTTTTCTCCAACTTTTCACAGAAAATCACAAGTGAAAATTACATCGGCCCCAACAGTCGCTGAATCGTGACCAAAGTGAGACTTTAGCAGTCTCCTCACTGTCCTGTTGTCAATGTCGTGCGCAGATAGCCGCTTAAAGTTGTTTAGTAAAAAAGTGTGGTCACCTATCTCAGTCCGCCGATGCTTCTCGTTGTAGTAGAGGTACGCCATGAAGTTGTCCGAGTGCACCGCGAGGGGGAGCGCGCGCGCGCGCCGCTGCAGCTGTGACGTCACCACGCGCCCCGACACCGCGTCCACGCACGTCGCCACCACGTGCCACTCTAACATAACCAGACGCAAGTACGTAATCAGTACGAGAAAATTTAAATTTCGAAATAAATATTTTAGTCTTTTTAAATACTATAAGAATGTTAAGATTCTACTTCTACAACTTTTTAAATAAAAAATGAGTCATTAAAATCAGCCTTTCGTCGACACATAATGTGTAATAATATTTAGTTGAATGGAAATCTTCCTCTGTTTTGAAAGTATTTAAAAATATCCAGAACAGTTTCTACAGTTATTTATTATAATTAATATATTCTGGAAAATTTACAAACGAGATGCTAGCAATTTCAATAAAAAAAAAAATATTTACTAATTAAATTAGCACACCTAAAGTCTGGCACAAATATTAAAAACAATAAACTCCTAATATGGTGTCCTGGCGTACCTCTGTGCCCGTCGGCGCTGTGCGCGGTGGGCGTGGGCGCGGTGGCGACCAGCAGCACCAGGTTGGGGTTGTTGTACTTGTAGAGGACGGCGCGGTCCCCCAGCACGCGGCCCGCCGAGTGCGCGCGCTCGCCCCCCACCTTGTCCACGGCCGCCACCAGGCGCGCCCCGGCCGTCGCGCCCCCCGCGTGCACCGACCACGTGCGCGAGGCCACCACCTCCTGCACAATACAACCACGTGCACAGTACGCCGCAGTACCGGTGCGATCACGCCTGCCATCGGTCGACTATATACGGACGTCTGCTACGGACGGCGACCACGGAAACGTCTCACCGGGAGCACCCTCGCGCAGAGTGGAAAGGGCGACGATATCGAGTTAAATTTATAGGATTATTTATGCGTAATAATTGCATGCATACTAATTGCGATCGATCAAATGCCACACAAGCGTGACAGAATTATATGAAATCATGCCTGCGAACGTTTTCGTACTTTGTTTTGTGAACTCTGCGATAGAACCTAATGAGAATAAATATTTTTAAATCTTCGACTGTTGATTGCATCCCCAACAGGCATCATCAACAAAAACTATTGTAACTATTCGATGAACGGTGTTTTAACTTTATTATTATCGTTTTTTAAGCTGCTGATTGTTATACAAAGTTGTTATCGAGTAATTATCGGTATTCCCCTATGAGCATCTTCTTACGAGTATACGGACAGAAATATATTTTTGGAGAAAGTGTTTAAAAAAAAAAATTAGTTCCCGAAATCAAACTAGATGTCTACGGTACATTCTTGATTTCTCCATAAACAACCTTTCCGGTTCTCTTTCAAATTTAAAAGTAAATTAGTTTTCAAAACTCAATAAACAACTCATATTCTATTTGTATTGATATCTAAGTTTCGAACTTTTCAAATTTCGGTTTTTTCATTATTAAAAGGAACGGATGACTGTCTTTGGTCCATTCGTTTCCTGCAAAAATCAACTTTTGCTAGAGTCGCCATCTAGTGGGGGTGCTTATTTAGTGCTTTCTTTTTTTTAAATACTTCCTCATTAAAAGAGGTAATATAAATATTAGGTTGATATCAATGGCAAAAGATCCCCTGGATCGAAAATTAAGATGGGCGTTCCGCAGGGCTCAATACTTGGTCCTTTCTTGTTTTTGATTTACATAAATGACTTGCCTTATTTCGTAAGGGATGATCACGAAATAGTTTTGTTTGCGGATGACACTTCACTCTTGTTTAAAATTAAAAGGGGGTTACCTCTAAATGACGATGTGAACAATTCTATCGCTAAAGTAGTACATTGGTTTAATGTAAATAATCTTCTCCTTAATGAAGGAAAAACAAAATGCTTAAAATTTGTACTACCTAATGTTAAAAAAGTAGATATAAATGTTAATGTAAAAGATAAGAACATGGGCCTTGTGGATACCACAGTATTTTTAGGAATAACATTAGATTCTAAACTACAGTGGGGCCTACATATTGATAGATTGTCGAGTAGACTTAGCTCTGCAGCATATGCCGTAATGAAGATACGTAGGTTAACTGACATAGATACTGCCAGATTAGTATACTTCAGTTACTTTCATAGTGTTATGTCGTACGGTATCCTATTGTGGGGAAATGCTGCCGACATACAAACAATTTTTGTGCTTCAGAAAAGAGCAATTCGATCAATTTATAATCTTAGGATTAGGGACTCTTTAAGGGAGAAATTTAAGGAAATAGACATTATGACTGTTGCTTCTCAATACATATACGAGAACTTAATGTACGTTCGTAAAAATATTAGTTTGTTTTCTATAAAAAGTGATGTACACAATTTTAATACAAGAAATAAAAATAAATTAACGGTGCCTGTCACTAGACTGCAAAAAGTTAATAACTCTTTCAAGGGTCTTTGTGTGCGCTTCTACAATAAGGTCCCAAACAAAATACAACAATTAGATATCATGCAGTTTAAATCTACTATTAAAAAAATACTTATTAAAAAAGCTTATTATAAGGTATCCGATTATATAACAGATAAGAACGCTTGGACTTGAGATGATCCAGCAACTGGATAGGTGATTACTTCTAAACTCATTATCTTGTTTCCATTATTATTAAATGATTATGTTATTATTATAAGACCATAGTTTTTTTTATCTCTGTTTATAATGTATTGATCTGGTAATGACATGGTTTTTGTAAATGTCATTACTCATATTAGAGCTGGTGAGTTTCTTGCTCGTTCTTCTTATCAGCCAAAAGACGACCTGAACGAGTGGTAAGGAAAAAATGTTGGACGATTCAAAAGTACTTTTAAGAAGTCTATTTGAATAAAGATTATTTTGACTTTGACTATAGAAACAACAAGTTAAATATTATCGTTATAAACATAAAATGTGCCTCACCCTGCCGTCGTATCTTAGCGCGTACCCCTGCACCACGGCCGTGTTCATATCAGCTACGTACATGTACATATTCTCTACTAGAATAGAAGCCGACCGCGGGAACACCTAACAACCAAACAATTAGTTTCAATTATAAATATTAGAATTATATCGTAGAGACCAGTATAATATCCATGTTCATTGGATCCAAGGAACACGGGCAAATTAGAATTAAATATGTACTCAACTGGTGCTGGATGAATTAAATAATGGACCGTGATATTCGGTTTAGAATTTAAAACTGAATTATAGATTTTAAAATTACATTTATTTATATTTAAATAAACTGAAGTCTTGTGGGTAGATTATACTGGCAGATATATCGACCTACCCTATTTCGAATCTTAATACAGTAGATCGATATATCTAACAATAATATCCATCGACAAGACTTCAGTCACCGTGATCGTGGCGTTGACGCTGAACGTCGAGGACTCAATAATTAATTATAAGGAACACACGTTACAAATCTCATAGATCTCTACCATTCTTATGTAAATGACCATGACAGTGTAAAACAATAATATGTATCTGTGGTTAAATATAACTCATTTGCATAAATAAATATTAAACAACATCACTCACATCGCTGAAGCTATGGAATTCTGAAACAACTAAGGTACCACAAAACAAAAGATCTCGATCACACGAGATATGGATAAGTCCCACACCTGCACGCTCTCGTCCTGGTCGAGCAGCAGCAGCGCGTGCAGCTTCTCCTGGTCCGCGCGCGGCAGCAGCGCCGCCTGCAGCAGCTGCACGTCCAGCTGCAGCCGCCGCTCGCCGGACAGCGTGCCGTCGATAGGGTTCACACTTATTATTAGGCCGTTCCCTGTCTCCTGTCGACGATGTATGACACGTTAAGGCGTATGGTGCAGCAATGAGGGGACGGCTGGGTGGTTACCTCGTGCCGGCCCACGACGGTGAGGAGGGGCGCGTGGGACGGGTGGGTGGCGGCGCGTATGGTGCAGCAATGAGGGGACGGCTGGGTGGTTACCTCGTGCCGGCCCACGACGGTGAGGAGGGGCGCGTGGGACGGGTGGGTGGCGGCGCGTATGGTGCAGCAATGAGGGGACGGCTGGGTGGTTACCTCGTGCCGGCCCACGACGGTGAGGAGGGGCGCGTGGGACGGGTGGGTGGCGGCGCGTATGGTGCAGCAATGAGGGGACGGCTGGGTGGTTACCTCGTGCCGGCCCACGACGGTGAGGAGGGGCGCGTGGGACGGGTGGGTGGCGGCGCGTATGGTGCAGCAATGAGGGGACGGCTGGGTGGTTACCTCGTGCCGGCCCACGACGGTGAGGAGGGGCGCGTGGGACGGGTGGGTGGCGGCGCGTATGGTGCAGCAATGAGGGGACGGCTGGGTGGTTACCTCGTGCCGGCCCACGACGGTGAGGAGGGGCGCGTGGGACGGGTGGGTGGCGGCGCGTATGGTGCAGCAATGAGGGGACGGCTGGGTGGTTACCTCGTGCCGGCCCACGACGGTGAGGAGGGGCGCGTGGGACGGGTGGGTGGCGGCGCGTATGGTGCAGCAATGAGGGGACGGCTGGGTGGTTACCTCGTGCCGGCCCACGACGGTGAGGAGGGGCGCGTGGGACGGGTGGGTGGCGGCGCGTATGGTGCAGCAATGAGGGGACGGCTGGGTGGTTACCTCGTGCCGGCCCACGACGGTGAGGAGGGGCGCGTGGGACGGGTGGGTGGCGGCGCGTATGGTGCAGCAATGAGGGGACGGCTGGGTGGTTACCTCGTGCCGGCCCACGACGGTGAGGAGGGGCGCGTGGGACGGGTGGGTGGCGGCGCGTATGGTGCAGCAATGAGGGGACGGCTGGGTGGTTACCTCGTGCCGGCCCACGACGGTGAGGAGGGGCGCGTGGGGCGGGTGGGTGGCGGCGCGTATGGTGCAGCAATGAGGGGACGGCTGGGTGGTTACCTCGTGCCGGCCCACGACGGTGAGGAGGGGCGCGTGGGACGGGTGGGTGGCGGCGCGTATGGTGCAGCAATGAGGGGACGGCTGGGTGGTTACCTCGTGCCGGCCCACGACGGTGAGGAGGGGCGCGTGGGGCGGGTGGGTGGCGGCGCGTATGGTGCAGCAATGAGGGGACGGCTGGGTGGTTACCTCGTGCCGGCCCACGACGGTGAGGAGGGGCGCGTGGGACGGGTGGGTGGCGGCGCGTATGGTGCAGCAATGAGGGGACGGCTGGGTGGTTACCTCGTGCCGGCCCACGACGGTGAGGAGGGGCGCGTGGGACGGGTGGGTGGCGGCGCGTATGGTGCAGCAATGAGGGGACGGCTGGGTGGTTACCTCGTGCCGGCCCACGACGGTGAGGAGGGGCGCGTGGGACGGGTGGGTGGCGGCGCGTATGGTGCAGCAATGAGGGGACGGCTGGGTGGTTACCTCGTGCCGGCCCACGACGGTGAGGAGGGGCGCGTGGGACGGGTGGGTGGCGGCGCGTATGGTGCAGCAATGAGGGGACGGCTGGGTGGTTACCTCGTGCCGGCCCACGACGGTGAGGAGGGGCGCGTGGGACGGGTGGGTGGCGGCGCGTATGGTGCAGCAATGAGGGGACGGCTGGGTGGTTACCTCGTGCCGGCCCACGACGGTGAGGAGGGGCGCGTGGGACGGGTGGGTGGCGGCGCGTATGGTGCAGCAATGAGGGGACGGCTGGGTGGTTACCTCGTGCCGGCCCACGACGGTGAGGAGGGGCGCGTGGGACGGGTGGGTGGCGGCGCGTATGGTGCAGCAATGAGGGGACGGCTGGGTGGTTACCTCGTGCCGGCCCACGACGGTGAGGAGGGGCGCGTGGGACGGGTGGGTGGCGGCGCGTATGGTGCAGCAATGAGGGGACGGCTGGGTGGTTACCTCGTGCCGGCCCACGACGGTGAGGAGGGGCGCGTGGGGCGGGTGGGTGGCGGCGCGGCGCGTGTACACGAGCACGCGCGTCGCGTCCAGGCCCGGCTCGTACCGCGCCCACACCACGCGACCAGACAGGTTGTCCATGCCGAATATCTGACACACACAAGACCGCACATATCAATGAAATACATTGTTTAAATTATAAGTAGACCTCTTTATCAGTAGTGCAACTAGTAGCAGGACGTCTTTAAAAATAAAATTAATAAATAATGATATATTTGTACTTGACATGTATCAACGTCGACATCCAACTCCCAAATTGCACCTCCTCTAACGGAGTCTACTCATAAATACAGTAACTACGGTAAACTTAAATCGCCCAATATATTGGAGACAGGTGAGAGTCGCACGTACCTTGCCGACGTCTGTGACCAGTACGATGATCTTGTGCAGGTTAAAGTAGTCCCGCACTAGTTCCGTGGAGTCCTGCCCCGCGTCCCCCTCCCCGCCCGCCTGCAGGCCCGGCAGCGCGGACAGCGCCGACAGCGACTGCAGACTGCGCACGAACGTCTGCAGTTGCTGCCACTGCATCTGCAGTCGACGCGAGAACGCCCCCCACACCGAACCTGATCGACCACTCGTTTTCTAAATCACTTACATGAGAACTAAACTCCGAAAACAGAAACGTAACGATCGGCCGATAACAATTTGGCGTCGAGGCATTTTCACAAATTATGCGACAAACATCGTGCAAATGTCACGATCCTATTTTTGTAGTATACATCTATGACTTTTTATAGCTTATTTACACTTAACCGGTATTTTTACTTTATAACTAAAGACTAAAATTTCAATTAAACAAAATGACTTACTATCCATAAAAATGACTAAATGTGCACCAAACCATGCTTTAGGTGCGTTTCTAATATTAGTTTGGTGTATGACATTTTTCTCCTAGAATGATTAGTCTGACCAGGGAGAAAAGATAGATAGATAGATAGATAGAGAGAAAGAGACGGGGGAGATATAAAAACGCTACGTTTGCATTATAGTTCAATGTTCCAATATGCCAAACGACTATAGGATTGCAGATGAAAATATTTTAGTCAACTTGGTAGCATTCGAACCCTCAAAAATAGCCTCTACCCTCTACCTTGATCTTGATAATAAGCACTAATTCATCCTAAATTAGTAGGGTTGCCCAAATATCGTTAGTTGAGTTTAAAAACTAATAACAATATATCGATTGTGCTATCGATAGTACCGACACCCCAATTAAATTACATATACTTTTGATCGGAAGCTATAGTATCGAGTATCGATAATACTTTTTATAGATGTTTTGCTGCGACTTCACCTGCGTTTGATGTATCTTCCATAGGTGAAAAAAAAATCAGAACAGAAGCCTATTTAATGCAAACATATAAATAATCTAATCTTATCTCTATATAATATTAGTATAGGTGTAGCAGATAGTGTTAAAACATTTTTCACTCATTATGCATAATATACTCATTAATATTAGTGCTACTAGATTAACGAGTTTCTTACTTAATATTTTTGTAAAAATATGTTTTGTAGGCAGTTAGTTAAATTATCGATAGTGTAACTAATGAACACTACAGTAGCACTATTAATAATATGACGTCAACTATAGTTGATCATAGATAGGTAATTCCACCAATTAGTGATTTTATTATTTATTTATTGCTGGCTATGCAGTTCCCTGAGGAACTGTAGTCACTTGAAGATCTATTGTGACTCGCCGCCAGATCTATAGTAACTCCTTTAGCCCGGTAGAAAGTCTATTATATTCCTGGCTTTTAGAGATTTTATATCTTCTGGGCTGATTATATGTCGTCCCAGATGTATGCTTCGTTTGTGGATTAGTGGTCCACATTCACACAGGAGATGTTTTGGTGTTTCACGTTCCTGTTTGCAATATCTGCAAATGTCAGTATCACTTAGTTTCATGTTACATAGGTGTCTGTTTAATTTGCAGTGTCCAGATAAGGCTCGTACAATTGAGCTTATATTTACCAATTAGTGATACAATTAACACTACTTTGCCGCATGCATAGACCAAATCTACTTTTGGGAGAATACAAATAATTCAACGTGGCAATACAAATATCCGTTTTTTACTAGCATACATTCATTTGCACAAAAGTCTATTAAAATTACATATCGACGCTGGAAAGCAAACACGTAGTAACCCGCAAAACCAAAATCGTTCTTTAGAGCAGAAAAACTTTTATTTTATTGGATAAATAATTCCTATAAACGTTCATAGTAACAAATAAGGTGTTCCTTAGTCAATTTATACAGAAATAAGATATTTTATTTTGGAAAAATATAATGATTTTCCACTTTAAATATCCATTTTGGGTTTGCAGGTTACTACGTGTTTGCTTTCCAGCGTCGATATGTAATTTTAACTATCCATGAATAAATCTAAACCAGTCAGGCATGTCAGTTTGCAGTCTGTAACAGGAGTCAAGTATAATATTATTTACTTTCAATATTGTAAAAAATAATTATTATTAATAATTGTGTTTATTATATAAATAAATTCGTTATTCATTGTACCGCTTACTCTAATCCACCGAGCAAACCCATAAATGAATTATCTATATAGATCGTTTATGTAAAGAACTTTAGCACTGGTGGTGTTCCTCTACTAATTATTTGAAAGCTTTAATCCAAAACAAACGTCTGCTACTCAAGATTTTATCACGCCATCAACTACTCGGTTGGCACACACAATCTAACACTTTACTTACTGTACATCTTGGCAGCTAGAAAAAACAAACAAGTGTAAATATTATATTATATAATTTGCACAGCAGAATATCAAATTAATACAAAAGGTAATATTCTTGCAAACATTTCGGATGTACGAAGTTAACCGATTTTTTTTCTTGTGATGTTTAATATACTTTTACCGGTAATCACACTTTTTATGTTTATGCTTCATTAATGAGCATTAATTGGTTTAACCAGCTGTTTCATTTTACAATAACGATCGCTTCTGGCGCTTCACCGGTCGCTGACGCGGCACGCCCGCTTTGCTCGCTCATCGTATGTCATACTCTAACCTAACCTAATCTAATATAGTTCACTACGCTTCATGGTTTTTCTCCATTGCCACAGCGCGTTGTGGTCGAATAGCATAACAGCCACGACACGGATTTCGTTACGTGTTTATTCTGTGAATGCCACAACGCGTTGTGAGTGTTACCATTAACGCCATAACACAAATTTCGCTATGTGGATATTTTACTGTGACCACAACGCGTTGTAAACATTTTTTTCGTTTAATGAGTGATTTCGATCTTTTAGCGCAACAACACTTACGAAATAAGTTTAAGAGGGGCGTGACGTCATAGCAACGTCATGAGAGAAGATGGCGTTTTCGCGGGAAATTTTGAAAATTACATTTATTTTTAGATTTTATCACAATATGCGAATAATCCTTTTTTATATATATCTATAAAATATAAATATTAAATAAATGTCATCTACACCCCTATAATACATATTAAAAACAACACTTTAATTATACGACACATTTCAGGATTGTGAATTGTCGTCGGCGTGACTACTTTATTTATGGCGGCGGGATCACGGAGATGGTGAAGCAGTCGTACAATACAATATGGCGGTAAATAGATGCAATAATTTACAGCTGATGTGGTTAATTGATATACATGAGCCGAAGACAAAATTTAAGTATCACGAGCGCGAGTGAGACGGACACCTAATACACTTTCTTATTCGGGCAGATTTGCTCTGCGCAAACAAAGATTTACCATGCGCATACATACAACAGATCATGACTTACTGGATGGCAACGACTTAGGTAGCATTAGAATTATAGTTTTTCGCGGGTTTGCTACCATATACCTTGTTTTTGTTGAGTTCCCGATATTTAAGTTGCTGTAAATGACAATGAAAGCTTAAAACAATAGACTGGTAATATCTAAGTCCTGTACTTACCTTCTTTCTCGAACTCGGACTCTATGGCGGCGTCAAGTTCGGAGACGGGCAGGTCAACGAACTCTGCCGCCGCCACATTGGCTAAGGCCTCCTCCCGCGTCCACAACACGCGACCTAAAAGACAGTTATAAATATTCACAACACTACCTAAAGCTTTTCTACCATCAAAAGTAGTGCCGAATGACATAACAGAAATGTTAATTATGTAAAAAAATTACATTGACTACAAAAACCCAATGCGAGTAGGCGAATGATTACTTCCTTCAAGAGCTGTAATCAACGACTTAAAGTGCCTTCTGAAGCCTGAAACTAGCACGTTATAATTACATTGTTGTCATCCGTCCGATGACCAGCCATTGCGAAATTTGCACTATTCCACCTTGAGGCCTCAAGTGTATACTGACCAGTGTGATGTAGTAAGTGCAGAGCATCGTCCTCGGCAGTAAGCAACAGCCGGCAGGGCCGCGCCGCGCACCACGCCGCCGACAGCTGCGGCGCGGGGATCGACAGCCCTGGGCCCGGACCACCGATCTCTGGCACTTCCTCGCCCGTAGTCCTATGACCTACCATAGAGATACCCTGCAGGCCAACCACCATTTTGTTTTACACAAATTAACAAAAGATCACTGCAGTGGCGGGATATCTTTTAGTCAAACCAGGCATGCGTCATGTTTTGCAACAAAAAATACTCGATCATCACATTCCAGACAAAAAACCCACATGTAGGCCCTAATACATACAATTATTATTAGGTATCTGACTGTGCATAACAGTATTTCATGATTTCCTATTATTCCCTTTTTTGTAGCTGTATTTGTCATATACAGTGGAACCTCTATAACTCGAACCTCATTAAGTCATAATCCTCAGTAAGTCGAAAAGAATTTTTATTCCCTTCCCCTGAACCCCCAAATCTGCAATATCACGAATTATTTTGACTTTATAACTCGAACAAAATGTTATTTTTCCTATGAGGTATTGATGGTACATATTTATACTTTATAACTTGAAATTCAAAAAACAGACTCATAACTCAAAATTAGTAAAATGTAATGGCGACGAACTTGGAATTCCCCGAACTCATAGCAATAAAATCCAATAAGAATGGTCAGGGTAGCGATGGGCTATTGTTGCTAAAAACTATTGACTGAATCGAAAATTGTGCAATTCAATTCAATTGTTGATTTAGTAGTTGTCGAAGTTTTAGAAATCATTTGTCTCGAAATTCTTGTTAAGTCGAAAACTCATTAATTCGACATTTTTGGCATTTCCCTTGACATTCGAGTTATCGAGATTTCACTGTATTAAAACAAAAAAATTATTGCTAGTAGTCCAGCATATAAAAATCTAAAGAATGTTATAAAAAAGTAAATACCTTATCCTCATCATTCCAAATCTGTATGATGAGCTGTCCACCCGAATCTGTTGTTATGGTTACGCTTGCCGACGGATCCATTACATTAACATTCAATAATTCAAAATCACTGTCCTTTATTACCACTATTTTCTCATCTCCAAGAATAAAACCAGGTTGTACACTGTTGCCATCCAGTTCTCTCAGGCTACTGTCCCCTTCTTCTGTGGTAAACTCAGAGAGAGGTTTGCTTATCAATTGTATCGCATTTGATGTAACATCCAGGGATATGAGCAGATGACTGCCGGCTTTTCCTGATATACAGGTGTAGTATGGGGCTGATAAAATACATCTGAAATAGAATTTTATCATAATTTTAAAATATTATCACTTCAGGGTGTCCACTCTAACAGTGTTATTTATAAACAAGGTTAAGTGTTGGAGTAAGTTTACACTGAGACTGCACTTACAATTAGTATTATTCAAAATTCATATTATGAAACAGAGAATTAGCAAAGGTTAACCTAGTACATGGTTTTATGGGAATAATATTTACTCCTAGAAGGTATCCATTCATTATAACATTAGAAAAAAGAGGGTCACAGAAGCAGCAGTGCAGAACATTTTATTTTCAAAATAAATTTAAAAATATATATAATAGTTTGGTTGAAACTTTGAACGTTAGGTAGTCTGAAAGAGTTGGGCAATTTTCCATTTTCTTTTGCGATGAGGCTAGAATTTTGTAAATTCATCTTTTACTTCCAAGCCAATATGGAACTATAACTATCTATCTGTTGTTTTGATAAATTCTAATTGTAAGTGTTTAATTAGAATAGAATTTAGTTATATTTATACCCAGGAAAGAAAGGTAAACAAAATGAATTTTTTATAATTACTTTTATAACATTCATTCAGATATTATTAGATTATTGATTAAGATATTGGAAAAGATAACAACTAAAACAAAACTATAAGAAAACAACAATAATGCAAAATGAACTCAATCATGGAACACGGTAAAATATGGCCTTTCTCGTTTGTTTCTTGTTTATTGTTACATTCACAATTAATGAGAATCCCAGATTACGTATTTTGACTATTATAAATACATCATAATCTGACAAAATTAAAAGCTGTACTACCGAAACGTTTGATGGGATTAGGCAATGTTTTAAATTTGGTAGAGTTATAGTGAATTAAGAATCGTGCCGAGAGTATCCAACCCTGCTTCTCTAGGTTCTTTAAGATGAACACTTTTTATTGTAAAAGTTATTAAATCTTTTAAGTTAGTCAAATACTCATAATTTTGTTTAACAGATAGCATATCCACTTAAGTACCAGCAGCACGCGTAGCATGACGAATGCGAGAATGTTTTGTCTACACTCAAATGTCACTTTTCTCGCGTGCGCCCATACTATATCTCACTCTCGACACAAGAAACTGACAAATGAGTGTAGACAAAGCGTTTCTCGAGTTTGTCATGCTACGCATGCAGCTGGTACTTAAGTGGATATGTAGCAAATAAGCCATCAATCTTAAGAGTAACATGATTTTATTTCACAAAGTATACCATAAAAAGAACCTTATTTAACTTCTGTCTAATGCTATAATGAATGGAGTATAGGTTTTATTACAGTACTTTTGATTATGCTTAGTCTCAAAATTTTGGGAAACTTCTTCATTATTACTATGCATTAGTGTTTCTATGAGACAAGTTCTAATGGTAACTAAGTTTTCATACAATTATCATTATTATTATATTTACCCTTCATTAGTCCAAACAGCTGGTAGTTTAGATGTGGAGCCTCTGTTTTGTCCTGTCATTAGATTGTACATTGACACTTCAACATGAGAGCCAAACACAGGCAACATGTGTACCAACATGCTGTTCTGGACAAACCACTCGGAGAAGTCAGCCTGGTCATTGTCCTGCAGGGTGAGAGACCATTCCCACAGCAACACACCTGATTATATATTCATAAATATTACAATGAATATCAATGGTGTTACAAAGTCATCTATCAAGCAGAATATGGAGTAAATATATATAAGGCAGTAAATATATTTCAATAAAGCATCTGAATTCTACATACCAGTAGAGGGCTCCCATCCACGAACAAGATAAGGGTTAGATCCTGTGACAGTTACAACCTTCTCTGTGACATATAAGAGCTGAATATTCCCTGAAGATGCACTTTCGAAAACATGACGCCAAACAACTTGTCCTGAATCAAAATAACAATTAAAACCTCAAAAATAACAATATTTAATGTAAACATAAGAATTCATTAAAATTATATTGATAAATAATGTCAAGTGATTACAACAAATCAATCAAAAACCATTAGCAACAACAACCATTAGTTGGTTCTAATATCAAAATAGATTATAGATTATAAGTATGCAAATATAATACATTTAACACTAATCAAAATAGGAAAAAGGCGATAATTCAGTTTTACCTGTCTTCAGATTCAAAGCGGCTAAAACATTCTCTTCTGTGGCAACAATAATTCTTTTGGCGGTAGAAACCGTATCAAACTGTGCAAATTTTATTCTTCCAACATATGATTGACGCCTGAAATTGATAATTGCATTAAAAATTCACTTAACTGAATCTACAAAATGACTTGAAAATTATAACCTATAAAAAAATACCAGTCGAATTTTCCTATTTGATCTTCATAGATGCATACGGATAGATTGATTAAGCTAAAGAACACAATGAACCAGTTGAAATTATTTAAAAACTTTAATAAACCCAAAAAATTGGGTTTTATAGAAATTGACAGCATCCCCATAGCTGGCTGATTGACCACAGACTAATACGGAGATACTATGTATGATTGACTGCGGAATTCAATGTTGCTAGTTTTGAACACAATATGTCTACCCTACCTAGCTCATAGAGGTTAACAGATTGTGTATCACCTTTCAAAGCAGACGCGGTCACACTATTCAAATTCACAAGGAACAGCCCTGCGATTCTGTAAAAATGCAAACCCGATTAGGAATACTAAAAAAAAAAAATCATTTTATTTTTTATTTTTGTAAGAAAACCAACGGCCTTTACAAAATTAGAATAGATGAGAATTAATACTAACAAAGAGTAAAGCTTTGTTCTTAAAACAGCTGGACTCTGATTATTATTACAATTTAAAATCAATACAATATTGACACTCATACACACACACACTCTCTACATACATATCCTTACACATCTAGTACTCATCCTTAGTGAGCTCCTCGAACAGTATTATATATATAAAAGAAAAGTGAAATAAACTCCTACACCATCACCGCAGCACTATAATAGCAACCATAATAATGAGGAAGTATTTAAAAAATAAAAATTAGTTCTTGAAATCATACTAGATGTCACTCGCGATGTTTGGATTTTGTTTATGATATTCATTCAAATTTTGTTTTTGACGTAATAAAAGTAAATTGACTATCAAAAATTAATAAGTATGACATCGTTTTGTGTTTCTTATAATATCTTACTTTCAAAATCATTTTAATTTATTTTAATCGTCATCAATCATGTTTGGTTGATACGTCAACATTAGTGATGATGAGCCAACTTATTGGTTGCTCGTAACTTTCATCCGAATTCAGGTTTGGAATGAAGAACAAAAAGCGGAGCGCAGAATGCAGCTTGTATTTGTAGATGTCATTCTGCATCCACAAAACGCATGATATTAAAATAAATATCAAAATCAATTCAGTCTAGGCTGTTACATAGGACTTGTGAAAGTCGAAAACTTTGCCAATGGTTCGCAAAACTAAGGCGGAAGATCTTATACTGACAAGAATCGGCAAGAAACTCAGCAAGGGCTGCTTTTTTAATTTCAACTATACAAGTCAACTATACTATAATTGAGGGAACGTGACGACCTAACACACACGACACCACCGCAGAGATTTTTAAGAGAGCATGACTACTTTAAGTATTCTACTCTAGGATTTCTAGAGTACGTTGTGTAGGAAGTTAATCTATTATTAACAATTATTATTGTTAGAACCAAAAAGCACACATCCACCGTATGAATTAACTTAACACATGGCTCGACGTCCGCCGTCGACATTCAAGATCAGTAGCAATAATATAATAACTGTACGTGTCTTTGTGATCTTGAAATTTAAAGTTATAACCTTACTGTTCGTTTAGAACAGACGTTTCTTGTTGATTGCTGAATGTTTTTTAAGATGATTTAATTATGAATATGAGATTTAATAACTGATCATAGTTTTTTTAAGTCTTAATTTCGAACGCACAGGTTATTTGTACGTTATACTTTGCACAAACGTTATTTTAGCCAGAAGTCATCTTATTTTGTACGAATACTTAGTATATTTGATACATATCGGGCAAGTATATAGATAATAAGCGGATTTTTCATTATAATTATCGTTTTTATGACTTTTGTTGCTGATTAATAAACCCTATTCATTCATTCACCGTATGTAGTTTTGTTGTTGTAAGTTTAACAAACAACTAATAGCAATAAAACTAACTCACCTAGTTATTATTGTTTTTAGAACTTTTGTTAAATATTATAATGAAAAATTAGACCTAGACCTACTATGGGTATAAGTATTTTATTTATTAAAACTATTTGGCAGTAATATTATTGTATACCGTAGCCAAATGCCACTTTTAATTATATCACAGCATTAATTCATTTGATTTCCATAAATGAAAAAAAAGCCTCTGTACTCACTTCCATTTTGCTATATACAAATAAAAAAGAAATTTATTCAAAGATTACTTTGTTTTAATCGAGTTTGCATAACTCGAATTAATTAAATTTCAACTCGATATTAAACCGAGTTATCAGATCATACAACACTAATAATTCTATTCTCTTTGGTTTAACGTCATGAATTGACGTTTAGATCCAACAATTTGTGCTGCCATCTAGTGACATAAATTTTTGTAGTTTATTTTTTTTTAATACTTCTTACTACTATAACCAGTATACAATAATAAAATGCTCTTTACCTTTTTTTTACTTTATATAATGTAATATTAGATACTATGTGTTTCCAAATTATGTTAATTATTAAGTGAAGTGAACTTTTTGAAGTGAATTCGGACAACTGAGTGAATCACTGAGTAATTAAAAAAACGAAGACCAACAGTTTTTAGTAAAAAAAAAGTATACAAAAGAATAGAACTGAATAAATATTAGGTTGTTTGGGCAAGAACCCTTTACCTTAAATAAGTAAAAAAGGAGTTTTGGCGCTAATCCGTAAGATTCCTAACCCAAAAAGTAACTTTTATAACTTACTCCTAACGCCGTGTTAGATATTTGTTATAATTAAATATCTTTAATAGGAATAAAACACAATTGTCAGCCATGTTATGAAAAGTATTTTATTTTTTAAAATAGGGTTGCCAACATCACATCCTTACAAATATCACTGATACGTAACACGCCGTTAGTACACCGATGCAAGACGAAACAACTGTGAATACAAAATATCTGCGAAATATATACTTTTGTGTAACGACTTTTTTCGTAGTTGCCTGCGAAACCATATTGACAAGGACGAAGCTATTTCGTCGAGCTTATAATAGAACGAGACAAATCACATGCGAAATATTGCCCTACAACTGACAAGCGTTTTTGTTGTTTCGTTTTCGCATGCGATTGCGTCGGTATAACGGCGCGGCGCGGCGTAAGAGTTGCTTAGTGTCAGTGATCTGAGACTCCTTTGGAGTTTTATGCATTGAACTTTAGAGGGAATGTGTAAAATTCATGGTGTCTTTTTATTTTATTAAATTTATAACTAGGTAGTAGTACTTCAATACCAGTATTAGTTAGCTCGGTTAGAAAAAAGTCGTACACATTAGGTTTAATGCTCAAAAACCTAAAGATATTAACTCTTACAAGCTTATATATCTTGGAAGCATCGATATTTGTTAAAACACATAAAGCTTTGTTTTTGACTAAAAAAGAGATATGCACCTTTAACATGAGATTCCCGGACAGGCTGGTGCTACTGAACTGCAGAACTGAAATATGCAAAAGAAACTCATACTAAGTAAAAATGTGTAATAACTTACCTGAAAATGTTAAGAAATTGCCACTATCGACATTTAAGTTTGAACTGCACTTGAACTTGCTGTAGCCAGCCATTAGCAAAAGTGTTTTTATTGTATTAATTAATATTTAGACAAGAGACATAAGTATATCCAATTCACAATATTGAAATTACTGCATTACTGTATTATGAATCAATTGAACAAATGACATAAAGATTTAATTTTTATTAATTTTAATAAATTATAAGATGCTATATCCGTAAATTTATTAATAACATTATTAATCGTATTAAGATTGTATGTGTGATTTTGATTGGCACTGATTTAAAGAGGAAGTTTTAATATCAGTTTGGTAAGTTAAAAATTAGAAATGGCACGTTTAATAACTAGTCCAGCAGTTAAAACTAAGCAGTAAAGTAAACAAAAATGAGTAATAAAAAATAATGAAATGGATCAATGAATATATAATTGAGCAAGAAAATAATTAAATGAGCGTTAATAAATAAATCGAAATTTGCCGGTAAGAAATCTCATTCTAAGTAATTCTATAAACAATGAGGTGGTTAAATAAAATAAAACAAACGGTAAAGAAAAAATTAAATTACTTTTGCTTTGACTGAAGGGATTAAATAAAACTAATTGTTTCATAATAAATTGAATTGTATAATTTGTTTGCTTGTATAATTTGTTCTGCCTCTCTTCCTTTTTTGACCATGTGGAATGTTTTTAGCTTCAACTGGAGGGACGAGGTACTTCAAGCGTATGGACAAGTCAATTATATGTTTACACATATATATTTTGTAAAAGTTTGGGCAAGTACATGTTCCTTGAGTCCATTCTTTTTTTTTGCGGCAATATAAATACGAACTTTTTATCGAACCGCTTATTCCATCATTTTTACCGCTCATTCATTTATTGGACTGCTCAATTATTTTTAGAATTGACATAAAATAACCGACTAATTGTTTTTTTATCACTGTCCATGTTTGACTGTCGCAATAATTAATCAACCTAAATTAAATAACTGTTCAATATGTTTTTCAACTGATCATAATGACATCTCGTATATTTAATTAACAGCCCAAAAAATTTGTTCCAATTTTGATTGCTTATTTTTATGATATCTGATGGACTTGCTAATTTTTACCTATTATGTTTGTATGAATATTAATTAAATAAGTATCAATTTTAATATTATTTTCAAAATTTTTGTATGCTATTTACAGTGAAATGTGCCTGGACTACTATTTTGCTAATATGAAATGAAAATATCTTTATAAAAGCAAGCACTTTTGAATCGTCCAAAAAATTTTTTGCCCCTACCACTTGTTCAGGACGTCTTTTAGCTGACAAGAAGGACAAGCAAAAGAAACTTACCAGCCTTTTTATCATAAGTAATGACATTTACAAAATAACGTCATTACCAAAATAATATGTATTATCACAATAATAAATACAACTTTTAAAGTCTCTAGGTCATAGTTTGTACACATAATAAGTCGTTATAGAACAAAGCGAAGGATATTAATTCCATGCATTGTGGTCCTTAAAATAATCTTCAACTTTATAATAGCCTTTACTCATAAGTATGTTCTTTACATGAATTTTAAATTTATTTATGGGTAGGTCAATTACATTTTGTGTAAATTTATTGAAAATAGCAATGCATTTACCCAGAAATGATCCTCTGGTTTTCTGAAGTCTCAAGTCTGAAACGACAAGTTTATTTTTATTTCTTGTGTTAAGATTATGAACACTACTTATTTTTTGTGAAGGAATCGT